TTTGTCGAGTATTCACCATGGTCACTGTTCTTTGTAGAGAAGAAACTAGGAAAACTAGTCATTTCCCACAGACCACGCCAGATTGTGCGTGCACGATCCTGCACAATATAAACACCAGAACATATATCTTTTGTGGTGAATACGAGTCCGTTAATCGAGTGATCGATCTTGCTACTTGAAACAGGTTGTGAGGGACAAAAATGGCCAATGAAGTGATGGCGAATTATTTTTAGGGGTCGCCTAAGTGATCCTGGAAGGTTAAGGGAGGTTCTTGAAACAGAGAAAAAGGAGTCAAGAGGGCGCCAAAGTGTTTTTCGGTATATCTCCTTTGACGATCAATTTAGTTTTTTTTAGAGAGGGGAAGAAGAAAACACTGTGTATATATGTGAGAAAAGGTTATTGCGTACCTTGTCATGTGTTTGTGAGGACTATTTATACCTTAAAAATTCATCATTGCTGATAGCATAACCAGTAGGTGATCATTAGAGGTGGGCAACGTGTACACTAATTTCTATGAGAAATGTCCTCTTTCTTAACAGCTCGAGACCCCAACCAACCAATGCTTCATCCTCGGTCTGCCGAGTGTTTAATGACATTCTCTCGATAGGGATATATTAAATGCCCGGTCATAGGAACATTTATTACCTTTCACTTGCAGGCCCTCATGCCTTAATGTTGTCTCATCAAGGGAAGGGCACACTAAATGCTTGCTTTCCCAAGTCACGTGTCAACAAGAGCATTCTGATCTTTTCATCTCTGATCTAACACAATACGCCACATGCCCACTCTCATTTGGTTGAGTCTTCTGCTTTCTTGTGCCTCCTGACACCATTTGGGTAAGACGATGTCATGATGGCTAATCTAGCCTAGCCTAGGTTAGTGATCTGTCCATCAATAGCCTTTACAGGAGCAGAAACGCCAACGTGGGTAGATATACCTCAGTGCCGAGGGACTAGTATGGTTAGGGACCGATGTACCCCCAATCCGACCGAGGGATACATGTCGGTCCATGGCATACTGGGCGTCGTTGATCTTTATGAATAGTACCCTCGGGGGAAAGGGATTATGTACTGACGAGCACGTGTCGTGATCACTGCAGAGAGTATCCATTGACGCCGAGTACACGTGTTGTCATCTGAAAATGTCTCATCAACTGCCCCCAGCATTCAATCTTTTGACGCCGAGGACACGCGTCGTAAGGAGACGAAGGGTTCTGCAATTACCTCAACCACCCCATCATTGCTTTCAGCTGTTTCCCGCTGCTAAGGAGGTCGTGCGCATTAAATGCGCTTCTTCGTGTCCAATGATGGGGACGGGTACTATATAAACGGATTCTCTTTCTCTTTCCCACACTTTTACCATTTCAAACTCTCAGAGAGCCTTCGCCTGAAATCTCGCCGGAGACCCCCTTCGTCACATTGTCTACAAACCAGTCATCACCGGAGTTTTTAGGCCAACACTCTTAATCAGTTGTTTATTGGGGTCTGGGTAGTAGTCCATTTCTCATGTAAACCATTTGGGATCTAGGTATATGACTCGCTATCAAAGCAGCTTAATCCTCAAGACAAGTAATGATAGTGTTTTAATAGTTTATACATTGAGTTTTTCAATTCCAGTTTTGTTAAGAAATATTTTTATTGACTTGATAAATGCATGATTTTTAATGACCTCATATGCATTATTGATTGTGTATGTCAAATTTTATTGAATTTATGTAACATATGGCTGGTGAAGACTTGCTGAGTAGGCGATACACAAGCTCTGTGTGTGTGAGAGAGAGAGAGAGAGACACACACACACACGAGGAAGATTAACTCGTAAAATATTATTTCATCTTAATGAATTTATAAAGACTATTGTCTCTTTATATATAAAAGCTAATAGCTTAATTAACCAATAACTAACCCTCTTGATGATGCATAAAACTGTCTCGTGTAAGATTAATAGTCAAGTGTGTAATAAGGTGGAATTAATAGACAATAAATAAGCAATCAATGACAATAATATAATATTGAGTCAACACACAGATATAGTGTGATTCGATCCGGTGACCTATTCCAACAGTGGCCCGAGGGGCTTTTATTGATGAATAAAGTAAGGGAGAGAAAAGCCCCGGGAGAGTGAAAGAAATAGATGATATAGGATTAATGACAAGTTGTAGGACTGTGGAAGATAGAGGTGTATGTGAGCCAGAATAAGTCATTACAGAAGTATACAGAGAAGGTGGAAAAAGTAATAAGCGATTGATATTAGAAGCAGTAGAAGGACAAACTTTAGCAGTTGTACATGGAGAGCCAAGGATANTGAAACAAAAGGGGTGGGGAAAGTAAAACTCGATGTTTTGAATGTTGGGAACATTGGAAAGAGGAGAAGTCGTGGCCAGATATGATGATGTCAGTGACACCATGTGATGGAATCATGTGCTTTCTTTCTCTTTCATATTTTACTTAGATTGTTATGGCAATTTGAGTGTCAAAGCTGTATGTGTATGTTATAAGACTGATAAATTATTGTAATTTTCAGTTTGGCAAATGTATAAAAGAAGAAGGTAGGAAACTATACAACGAAGAAGAGTATAGAGTTGGTGAGATTTGTCAAATCCTATGTACTCGTGCGAACAACGTTCTCTAATTTCAAACTAACAAGTTGAAGTTGGTCAAACAGAGAAGGTTAGGGTTTTGGGTAGGTGGGGAGACTGATCAGAGTTTTGAACTAGTTAATGGCTGCTGGATCACAGTTGATTCAAGTTTTAATAAGCTGTCACAACTGGATTATGAGTCAGGATTAGTGTGGACCTGTTGTCCTTTGTGTACTTGACAGCTTACATGGCCATCCAAAGCCTTGCATTGCTATAAAATAGAAGCAGGTGAAGTGAATTTATTACATTAATGGATTATACCTTAATTTATCATATTTATAGATACTGTTATGATATTTTAAAAAATGATAAGAATAATTATCATAATAGTAATAAAAATATTCACAAATATGATAAAAATACCCACAAATGTAATAAAAATATTCAAAAATATGATAAATTTTTTTTGTATCAAAAAAAGTGGTAAAAATAATTATTACAAATGTGTTAAAAAGACCCCACAAAAATAATAAATTATCCATAAAAATAATAATTTTTTTGATTAAAAATAATTCATAAAAATTATAAAAATACTCATAAAAATAATAAAAATTAGAAGTACCATATTAAAATTATTACGTCGGACCGTAGTCAACTCCTAATTTACCAAAGCAAAAGACAAACAACACTACGTGTCATTGCAAGCAGGTGAACCCCGCTATATATTCCAACGACAATTAGTTTAGAACTAATGTCACTTTGCACTCTAAAAGATGCTTAAACTCTCAATTTACACTATCAAATATTAAAAATTTAATTTACACCATAAATATTATGAATTAATAGTAATGTGAATATTGCTTCGGCTACCATTTAGTTTTTCATCATAAAATTGAAACACGTGAATGTCAAGTGCTTCGGCCATGAACTTATGCATAAATTCACAGACTTTTGACACCTCATGTGAGTTATATATAATAAGAGTAAATGCTATATGGACTTAAAAATTAGATTTAAAAATTAGACTTGATAAATTTCAACTATTGAATAGGTAATGAGTCATAATAAATGTTGGGATCCATAGTGTGAAATCAATAATTGTAATTATCAAGTCTACTTTTTAAGTTTATGTAGCATTGCTTATATGATAGACTTAACCTCTATTTGATTAACGAAACTTTATTTTTGATACAAAAAACGATGTTAAATTGATTGCAGACGAAAATCTACAACAATGGACATCCCTCATCCTTATGCACTTGTAACTCATGTCCTTCAATTTATGGCAACAAATTGAATACCAGTATGAGCAAGGTCCATATTGTTACCAATTCATAACATTGAGAGTGCAAATTAAAATTTTTAAATTTCAATGGTACAAATTGAGAATTAAAATATCTTTTGAGATGCAAAGTAATATTAGCCCTTAATTTATTACCATTTTGTAAATACGGAGAATATGAATTTATTACAAGCTTGAGTGCAAAATTGTAAAGCATTTAACCAGTTTTAGTAGGCCCATGAAGCATTCTCAAAGTTGGGCTTCATCTTGATTAATTAGGGTTTAGTAGGCCCATGAAGCTTTCTCAAATTTGGGCTTCATCCAGATTTACAGGGCTTACCGGGCCCATGAAGCATTGTCCAATTGAAAATCCGACCCGTCCCATCTCACTACCATGGCAAAGCAAAAAATTTACAAAGAAACCAATCCCGCCGCCATTAAGATGCCTCGTACCTTGAAAGAAATAAGTCGCGCCTTGGAGAGATGATTTCCAGAACATTCCGATTTTCCGCTGGGCTCTTTGAACCCCAATGGCATTTTGGTAAAAGTATATTAAGTAAATTACACTTTATCCCGCGAGCTATTTATCTTTATTTTACTTTGTACCTTCAATTATAAAAATTTTTATGCTATACTCTAAAGTATTAATTTTATTTCATATCACTTTAATAAATAACTACAAACTTAAAAATTTGTCAAATGAATGAGGGTAATTTCAATGAGCTTCATGTCAAATGCCTAAAATCACTTTATTTGACATCTTTTGTAACAAAATGGTTGCTGAGAAGAAAAAAAAGTCAATCGAAAGAAGAAAATTTAGAGTTTAGAACAAACAAAGTCATAAATTAGTATTTTTCTTTATTTTTTTCCTATACATGTATAATAGACGGATGTTTATTGTAATTATAGATTACTCACATTCGTATTTATCGTAAAAAAATTAATATTTTTTTATTCATTGGAGTTATATAAAATAAAATTAATATTTTAAGATGTAATGTGAAAAATTTTATAGTTGAGGATATTAAATAAAATAAAGATAATAGTTGAAGGGTTAAAGTGTAATTTATCCAAGTTTATTCACAAAACAACAATGGCATTTTGGTAACTTCATTGGAAGCCTCCAAACACGACCGTTTGACTAATGAACGCTGATGTGGTGGGTGAAATTGACGAAAAAAGGACGTGGGTGAGCAGCAGTGTAAAAAAATTCTCACTAACTTTCTCTCGGTCCTTCGCCAAATTCCATCTTGGAGAAGAAAAAAACACACACACAGTGAGGATCGTAATCGGAAGAGATGGGGTGGATGAGTCGATTTCTGGCGGCAGTGACATTCTTGGCGATCGGAGTTATTTTCTCGCCGGAAACCTTCGGGTCAAAATCGGACGGTCAGCATACGCCAAAGCTCATCACCTTCCTCAAACTGGCCCACCTCCTCTGCTTTTCCACAGCCTGGGGCGCTGCTTTATGGGTCACCTTCATCGGCGGCATCATAATGTTCAAGTAATAAACACTCTACCTTCCAATTTGCATTTTCTTGTACACTCTCCGGTAAAAAAAATGGTAGCTAAATCACATCTTGAAAATTACTGTATGATATCTATACTTTTAGGAATTTACCGAGGCATCAGTTTGGTAATTTGCAAAGCAAGATGTTTCCGGCATACTTTTCGATGGTTGGTGTGTGTTGTGCTGTGTCGGTGGTGTCTTTTGGCTACTTACATCCGTGGAAGACTTCGTCCACTTCCGAGAAGTACCAGCTTGGTTTCCTTCTCGCTGCTTTCGCATTCAATCTTACCAATCTTTTTGTCTTTACGCCGATGACCATTGAGGTAAACAACTCGCAGCAGTTAATTTATGTTGCTCGTCACTGAATAGTTATTTTTTGTTCAAACAATTCTCATTCTGACACGAATTTTGCTTGATTTAGTACAGTCTAAGCAGCTATCTTTAGGGTTCAATTACCTTGACATGAGGAAGACAATTTTGTATGAAAAAAAACATGTCTTTATTTAGAGGTTTTGCCGATTATTGAATTTCATAATGAGTTATAATTTAGTTAATTTAGAGCTTAAGACTATGCAAAAATGCGGCATTGTTGGTTTGTTGATGAACTATTCAACTATTCTTTAATTTGGGAATGTTGCTGCAAGGACAGATTGATTTATGGCTATCCAGTTCAGTGCTCTCGTTTTTTCTCTTTTATGTTATATAAATATTTGATTTATGTCCTAAGTGGTGTCTGGTGTTGAGTAATTGATTCTATTAAGTTTAGCAATGGTGAGTTATATTGTACTCCTAATCTGATTGCTAGAGAAAAGCTATGATTCTCTTCTGCTTCATTCCTCACCTGGTTAGTCCGGTTCTGACTTCTGTCTCTTGAAGTGTCGCTGGATTTTGTGTTTAGCATGTGAAAATTTTTTGTTTCTTGTTGTGGTGTAGCTGATGAAGCAAAGGCACAAGGTGGAGAAAGAGGTGAATATTGGAGAAGAAGTTGGGGGGACTAAGAATCAAGAAGTTGCAAAGGCAAGTCCAAAACTTGCATCAATGAACAAGAAATTTGGAATGATTCATGGACTATCTTCTCTTGCTAATATCATGTCTTTTGGTAGCCTCGCGATGCATTCGTGGTATCTGGCGGGTAAAATCGATCTTTAAATTGACTTCCATTTCCCTGTTGTTGAAGCAACTGGCCTTAGTTATATGCTATGTTGAATAATCAAGGTTCCTTTTGCTTCTTTTCTGGGATATCAGTTCTCATTGTTTCTGTGCTGAGTAATGTTGAACTGAAAAATGTATTGAGGAAAGAAATACTTGTCTCATTGTATACTTATATGTAATATTTCATGGTAATGCCCAGTAAAATACCCTTGTAGTTAGGCAGTTTGAACCTGATGTGGAAATGAAATAATATTATTGTGTTACTTATTGCATTGGTTCCAAGTCATTTTTTTTTTTAACTTACATGGCTGATCAAAACAAAAACAAAACAGGGGTGGGGGGAGAGAGAGGAATTAGCTTAACTATCAATTCATTTAGATATTTCGGTGAGTAGCATCCTCATATCATATCATATCAGCATTCTGTTGATGATTCCCAAGGTCCCAGAAACCATTAGCACTTCATTCTAGTTTTCATATGATATTTTGATTCTTGAATTCCTTGGTTGCTTATCTTCAAATGTAAAAGTTGAAGATATGGTTGGATATAGTGGACAAATATATTGTAAGAAATCAAGCTCGAGCAATAAGTTTTTTCGGGAGGTAAATAAATTTATTAAACTAAAAAAATATGATATACAATGAAGTTCAAAACACGCCAAAAAAAAAAAGGTCACATGAAGCAATACTTAGAAAGGTTACTCCGTTGATATACCTATATATAAAATAATATCTCACAACCTGAGACTAGGTACAAAAAGCTAGAACGAGTCCGTAAGTCTAACTACACCTTCTAAATACTGAGGAGGAGCCTTTAACCTCTACTGATGATCCTTAATATTTGAGGTATTGATATTTTATCTTTTAGCCTTCAGACTTTGAATCCTGCCATGAAGTGTTCTCTTGTCTTTCTCTTTAGATGAGAGACCCCATTCAAGATCATCATCAAAGGAATTATCAAGATCTTCTTCCAACTCCTCAACATTGTCATTTTCCTCCCCATGGGAAGTGTTCTTTCATTTTATCTTTTTTAAGTTGGCAATTACTCTTAAGCTCTAGAGGAGGGCTCGAGCAAAGAACATTAAAAGGATTTGAGAATGATTCTCCTCTATTAATGTTTCTAGTTCCTTCCACCGGAGACACCTCCATCTTATCTTTTCTTTTGTTTTTAGGAGCATCACGCCATTCATCAATGCAAGGCTCTCTAGTTCTGACTTCCTTTGTTCTTCAAATTTGAGGATTATCTTGTTTAGGAGTTAATGGGCAACTAACATTGGAATGACCAAACAATTTGCACGTTGAACATTTTCGAGGCATCCAAGAGATTTCAACTAATATTTCATGTGTAACCTCAGCTATCTTAATTTTGAAGTACTTTGGAATGTCATTAAAACTATCAATCTCAATACACATCCTTGCAAAGTCTACTCCTAGAAAGATTGGGAGAATCAAGGTGCAAAGGTTTTTCAATAATGCTACCTAAGTAGCCAAAACCTCCTCTTCAGTCACATTAAAAAGCTTGACCCATATTGGAATGTTGGAAAATTCAAATTTCGTTAGATTAATATTTGGACTTAAGATAAATGTGAGTAAAAGGGATACTCAAATTAAGAGCAGGGCCCCGTATATATAGCCAAATAATAATACAAAGTGACCTAAACATCCTAGTGGTCTAAGGCAAAATATAAAAGTCATAGTAAGGATAAAAAAGGGAAAAGAAATCCTAATAATCTAGGCTATAACTCCAACACTCCCCCTCGAGCTAAGCACAAAAATATCAACTAAGTCAAGCTTGACAACTGAATCATGAAGAATAGATAGAGTGACAGGTTTGGTGAAAATATCCGTAACCTGATCACTAGTTCCCACAAACAATGGAGTGACAATATTACGGCTAACCTTCTCCTGAAGAAAGTGAACATCGATCTCTATATGCTTTGTCCTCTCATGTAGTATAGAGTCGGAAGCGAGCTGAATAGCAGGTCGATTATCACAATATAATATGGATGGAGAAATCTCTGGAAATTCCAACTCGCCAAGAATTGATCGTAGCTAGATAATCTCACACGTGTCAAGTGCCAGTGCTCGATACTCTGTCTCTACTGACGAGCGAGAGACAATTGCCTGCTTCTTACTCTTCCAAGAGATAAAGCTCTTCCAAGAGATAAGATGAGTCCCTTAAAAAGCACAGAAACCCGTAGTAGATCGATCGTCACATTCTCCCCTATAATCTGAATCTGAATAACAGGTTAGAGAACTAGTCTGAGATCCTGATGTATAGAACAATCCAAGTCTAGGACAAGACTTGAGGTACCGAAGAATATGATAAACTGCATTAAGATGAGGCTAACACAGCCTGTGCATGAACTGACTAACTCGGCTGACTGCGAATGAAATGTCTGGCCCAGTGTTTTGAAAAGCTCGCCTAGGCGCTCGCCTAGGCGAGAAGCGAGGCGAGGCGAGCTTATCTCGCCTGGAGGACCCCAGGCGAAGCGAACGTGAGCGAAGCGAGAAAAAAGCGAGAAAAAGCGAAAAAGCGAAGAAGCGAAAAAAGCGAAAAAGCGAACGCTTTATTATAAAAAGCGATTCTGCTTCACTTTTCTTTTTTTTTTTTTTTTTTTCTGATTACAGGTTAGTAGTCTCTTTTATTTTTTAATCACTAATGACTTTTTTTTTAGACTATTGCTGGTCTTTTTTTTTTTTTTTTTCTAATAAACAATGTTTCGAACAAAACACATTCCTTTTTTTTCCTTGTGTTGCTGAATTCATTTAGAATATTTGTGGGATGTGGGAGTCAGGCGACTACACTGCATGACAATTATGATAAAAAAATAAAGCAGGAGTATCAGAAATGGGGGTAAATAATAGATTCTTCTACAAAGAAGTGTCTCTGATATGTCTTGGTTATACTTTTCCCTTTTCTTATATATATACAAATGGTACCAAAAAGTGGTTTATGCTTATACCATGTTTAATTATTTTAGTACATGTGAAATATGTCTCTGTTCTGCTTTTTTTATTCAGTATATAATTACATATGAAATTGTTTACAATTGATTCTGCTCCTGTCATGATCATTGTGCTTCTGTTTTTTTTTTTAACTTATTCTGCTTCTATTTTTTTTTGTTGATTCTGTTGCTGCTTCGGTTTTGCTGTCCTGTGTTGCTTTTATTTTTTTTTATCCTCATTCTACTTCTTTTTTTTTTGTTGCTAATTCTGCTGTTGTCCTGATTCTGCTTCTTTTGTTGTCCTACCCTGTCAATATGAAAATGTATACAATTGTTAGTATTTGTTTGAATTTAAATGTTTAAGTTATGACTGTTATTAAGATTTGAGATATTATTAGTATTTTTTTTAATTTAAATGTTTATGGTTTTACTTGCATTTAAATATTTAGTATATATAAAATTAGAACTTAGATTGTTTAGAAGTAATTAAACTAAAATATATATTTTTTTTAACTGTTCGCTTTGCTTCGGTAAAGCGTGTCGCTTCGCTTCTCGCTTCTCGCCTAGGCGTTAGGAGCCTTGGTCGCTTCGGTTCACTTTACGCCTTAAATAACACTGGTCTGGCCTAGTGTTGGCTAAGTAGATAAGTCTACCGACTAACCTCTGATAGACTGTCGGATCTTTTAACTCCTCATCTTCAGCAGTAAGCTTCAGGTTTGGAATCATAGGTGATGATGCCAGTTTGCACCCCAGTATCCCAGTGTCTGAAAGAAGATCCAGAACATACTTTCTCTGAGAAAGAACAATACCCCTACTACTACAGGCAACCTCAATCCCAAGAAAGTATCGCAGAAATTCAAGGTCCTTCACATCGAAGGCCTTCCCAAGGTCTATCTTGACCTGTGCAGTCCCAGAAATATCATCACCAGTAATAATAATATCATCAACATATACCAGAACGATGACACACTGTCCAAAAGTATTCTGTCGAATAAAGCAAGTATGATCAAAATGACATCTGGTGAACCCCAATCGTACGACTACATCACTAAAGTAAGAGAATCAGGCTCGTGGTAACTGTTTTAGTCCATAAAGAGACTTACACAATCGACATATCTTTCCAGCATACTCCCCCTCACGACGAAAGCCCGGTGGTGCATCCATATAAATAATCTCATCCAGATCACCGTGAAGAATTGCATTCTTCACATCTAACTGATGAAGGGGTCAAGTGTACTCCGCAGCCAGAGAAATAATCAATCGAACAGAAGTCAATTTTGTCACGGGGGCAAATGTAGCACCAAAATCACGACCTGGTACCTGAGTAAAGCCCTTCGCCACAAGCCTAGTCTTGTGACGATCAATAGTACCATCCGCAAAAAATTTTAAGGTGTAAACCCAGCGACAGCTAATAGGCTTCACCCCTGAAAGTAAAGAGACAAGATCCCACGTATGATTACGCTGAAGAGTATCTATCTCCGTCTGTATTGGTAATAACCCATTGGGGCTCCCGTATAGCCTCTGAAACAGAGCGAGGAACTGGTGTATCTGATAAGGTCATACTATAAACTCGAACTGTAGGAGACAGATCATCATAAGAAACAAAAGTAGAGATCGGATATTAAGTCCTGGCAGTCCAACCATAACGAACAACTAGACGGCGATCACGCCGCGGATAACGACGCCCTAAATTATCATCCTCCATTGACAATGTCTCATCAGGTAAAGTAACTGACTCAGTACCTACAATCTCATCAGTACTAACAACAGGTGCATCAATATGCTCAACGAACTATGAAGTATTACCTGCATCGCCTGAGGTAGAGGGAACATCAGCAAAGGGATGAGAGCGAGGGCGACGAACATAAACCTGCAAAGGAAGAGAGATTGGTGACTCTGTATTGACAGGGATAAGTGACTCTAAAAAAGGAGAGACTGATGACTCTGTAGTGATAGTGATCAATGATTCTGGCTCCTGTTGTAACGGAAAATTAAAGGGAGGATCATCAATTAAAGGGACAGACACAAGATTGGAAGAAAAATTAGAAATATGCTGAAGGAAGGTAACATCTAGACTATGATGCATACGTCACCTAATAGGATCATAACACCGATACCCCTTAGACTGATGACAATAGCCCACAAAGACACAACGAATCGTTTTATCATTAAGCTTTTTAAGAGTAAGAGACCGATCTTGAACAAAACATGTGCAGCCAAAAACACGAGGGGGGACAGGAAAAAGTGTTCGATTAAGGGAATAAGACCTGTAAGGGAGTCCTATGTTGAAGAACACGACTTGGTGTACG